TACTTATGACCAACGATCGAGTAATCATTTGCAAGCGCTTAATAAATGCCTCTACCAGACCATTATGGGTATGAACTTGGGGTACTAGATGTTTAACTTCAACCCTAACCGGCATGTAATAGTCATCAAAAGTTTTAGATGTGAATTCTCTAGCATTATCCAATCGAATAGATTTGATCAGATAATCAGGATGGTGAGCCTTGAGCTTGATAACCTGAGCCAACAGTTTGGAGAATGCAGTGTTCCTTGTGGACAACAAGCACACGTGTGACCAACGTATGAAAGCATTAACCAAAACCATAAAATATTTAAATGGTCCGCAAGAAGGGTGAATCGGTCCACAAATGCCCCCCCTGAATCTTTTGTAGAAAAATAAGAGGATTCGAATGAATCTTGTCATAAGAAGGCTTAATAATAAGATTTCCCATGAAGCAAGTTTGACATGCGATTCCTCGAATCGAACCTAAACTTCAGGTTAGTGGATGCCGATGTGATGATTTGAGGATACGGCGCATTGCTCTTCATCTAGGGTGTCTCAAATGATCATGCCAAAGTGTAATTTCATACGCGATCCCAGAGGTAGGGCTGTCCACATAGTGGCTTTCTATAAGGCGTATGGTTATAGTATACAGACCACTCGAGATACGCTCCATCTTTTCTGGAATATGCTTTTGGCCATGTTCGTGGGAAGTTATGCATAGAAATTCAACTCCATTTTCTACATAGGGTTCAGTGTGGTAATTATTATCACTAATGTCCTTGAAACTCAACAACGTTGTTTCAGAACGCGGAGAATAGAGTGCCTCATCAATGGTCAAAATTGTACCATTGGTCAACATTATACGTGTCTTACCTTTTCATTCAATCGGGTTGGATGGGCCTGAGAGGGTTGTCAGAGGTGCATTCTTAGGTATGAAGTTAGTGAAATAAATATGTTCACGCAAAACAGTGTGCATGGTTGCACTATCTGCTAGATAACTAACTTTCCCATTAGTCATACCTAGAATAAAAATTAATTTGAATCGGTCACATGCATAAAAGTTCTAAAAACAAATATCCATTCAAAATAATTTAAGTATTCAAGGATGGTAATTAATAAAAACTTAATATCTAAAAAATAAATCACCAACAAATAATCCAAACAAAAAAAGAAAATTGTTCAAAAAATTAAACAAAAAACAAATGAGGGTCCACTAGGTGGAATTCAGCCCCATTGTCTAAATTTCAACTAGAAGAATAGTTTATGTCTAAGATTCTAATCTTGCATAGGGGTAATAGCCTCTTAAAAGTCAAAAACCTCCATCTTGATTCAAACTTGTTATGACGAGAATGATATTCAGCTACAACTTTCTGGGGAGCTCGGCAAACACGGGACTAATGGTCCTTTGAATCACAATGATAACACATGTCTGCATCTATGGTTTCAGGTGCTTTGCCCTTATTCTTGAAGTTTGGGGCCTTGGGAGCAAGGTTAGGGTGCTTCTGGGCTCGGTTTCCTCCCTTAGATGGGCCTTGGCTCTATTGACCTTGACGGGGTGGCTTCTGGCCACCTCTACCACGCCTATTTTGGCGTTTGTTTGTGTTATAGTGTGCTTTAGGCACAACAGTCACCCTAATAGGTCGAGCTTGATGCTTTTTCATCAACAGCTGATCCTACTTTTCAGCGAAAAGTAAAACAAAGATCAAATCCGAAAACTTAGTGAACTTATGAGCCCTATATTTTTGTTGCATGACAATATTAATAGTAGAGAAGGTCGAATATGTGATCTTCTTCGATCAAGGTCTCGTTACAAAACTTGAGAAATGATCGAATTCGACAAACTTCAGAATTATATTCATTCACAGACTTAAAGTCTTGGAAGCACAAATGATGTCAGTCATGTCTTGCCTCAGGCAAAAAAAATGTCCTTTTGGTGATCAAAGCGATCAGCTAAAGCGACCCAGAGTGCTCGTGGATCTTCCTCAGTAAGGTACTTGATTTGCAGTGCGTCATGAATATGTCTTCGGATGAAGATCACAGCAGTGGCTTTCTGAGCTTCGCCAACTAGATTGTTCGTCTCATCTTCAATGGCGGGACGTAAATTCATTGCAGTGAGGTGGAGCTTCACATCTTGGACCCACTTAAGGTAGTTTCTTTCAAAGACCTCCAAAGCAGTAAAGTCGAGTTTGTTCAAATTCGACATGTTCCTACCACAAAATAAATGGACAAGATGCGATTAGTGTAATGGAGAAAAAAATCCATTCACATAGGAGTAGAACATTCAGGTTCTAATACACATGTATTGGTTTAAATTCGCATGAAAAAACTTCAAGTTTTCATGGATGATGTTTTTAAGAAAAACTTCAGGTTTTCAAACAAGGCATGTTTCGAGAAACTTTAGGTTTCAAAATAATTATGAACTTCACGTTCATATGTTTTTGCAGACAAACACAAATATATATACAGAAATATGCAACAAGAAAATATGCAAATAGAACTTCATGTCTATAATTATAGTGAAATTAATTATTTGGCCTTTAGGCCAAATTTAAAGTGTGGGTGAAAAATTATAAAACCCAAAAGTGCCTAAAAAAATAGGCAATTAAACCTCGGGGCCCAAACATTTGGACCAAAGCCCACAGGTGGGCTGAGTGAACTGGTGCCGTGTAGTTCAGGCCCGAAACTGGGCTAGGGTAAGCACAGGCCTAAAATGCAGGCAGGCCCAGCATCACAGAAAACGGGATGTAGGTGCAAGCCCAAAAACAGAGGCCCAAACATGCTCTAATTTGGTGCTTCGTGGACACATATACCCAAGGGGATGCAATCCTGTGTGTTGCAGTACATGGAAGTCGTAATAGCCACAGGGGCTGTGATCCTCTGTGGTGTGAGACACGGGAACACCATGGCCAAAGAGGGCCAGTGTTGGGTTGAGAAGAGCTCCAAAGCCCAAAGGGTTGGTGTTCACCGAGAACGGGCCAAGCCCAAATGGGCTTAGGGTTTGAACCAAACACCCCAACGTTAGCTAGGTGACCTCGTCGGAGAAGGAGACTGGCGCCACCGCTTTAGGAAGTCGTGTCATGGTGCAACAATCATGACAAAAAAATCGTGGATTTGACGACGACCCATAAAGGTAAACGGAGAGTAGAGACTCTCAACGTGTTTAGAAAACCTAGAAAAATTAACTCGGAATTTCGATGAAAAACCAATGAGATTTGAACGAATCTCTATCAAAACCCATCGGGGGACGATTTTCAAGTTGTCGGGACGAGGACCAAAGGTCAAGATTAGGCTGCAGGCCCACCTGTGAGGGAGAAGACATTATGGAAGACAATGGGTTTTTTTGGGTTTCAGACCAGGAGCCTATGGCTTTGGCTTCGTGGTCTCACGGCTTGGCTTAGCGACGCAGGCTACAGGCCTGGGGCTAGTGGCTTGACGGCTTGGTGGCTCACCAGCCATGGCTCACATGGTGAAGAAGTTTAGAACGAAACCCTGATCCATATTTGAATAATTTTATTTTCAATTTCAGATTAATTCAATGCATATTCATATAAATAATTTAATGCATGGACATATATTTGATGCAATTCATGGCAATATCAAATTCACATAATTCAACAATTATAGGTATAATGCATACACAATTTATGTAGAATCTAAAATTCGCAAAAATGTAAAGTTGGGTCATGCATTATGGTGAATGTTCATGCTATTAGGGCTGCAAAAATATCGAGATAAAAACCATTGTTTTGGAAGAACCTGATTGCGTGATGATATTGTGAACTGGTTTGAAGCAGAAAGCTTCCACGTCAGCCTAAGCACAGCAGTAGAAGCGTACTAATAACGTGTTGTGGCCTATATTTAACTAACATGGGAAGGGGGCCGGCGGCACAAAGAGAGAATAGAGAATGAGATGTGTTTGTAGGGTTGTGTAGATGATGTTATTATTCACCCTACTCAGTGCCTTTATTTATATTAATAAGAGGGAGAAGAAATCCTTCTCCTCCAAGGAATACAAGTCCTAATAGGGAAGAATAACTAGAATCAAATCTAATCTAGGATTTACACAGTCACACTTATACAAGAAGTTTATAACAACAAAAAGTAAATTCGAGAAAAATAAATAAATAAAAGAGCTAACTATGTTTTATATTTTTTTTTCTCGACCTTCAAATTTTAATTTTTTTGTCAAAGAGATAGATAATATTAAATTCGAATTGAAAGGTTTACATCCTCAGCTAAAGTTTAAACAAAAAAAGAGGACCAATACAACCCTAATCAAATGAGCCTCTCTTTTTAAGAACAAATGCCGCCACAGAGTTTGCCGCTCTATTTCCTTTTCTCGGCGAGAACACAAACTCCACGAATCGAACGCTTTCACTCAATATCCAAATATCATGAGCTAAACCTTATGCACTAGTGTCAAGTTTCATCTCCTAATTCAGCACGCGAATCATCTCATGTGCATCAGACTCAATGATTAAGTCTTGCATTTATTCCCAACAAGTTTGTGACAATTTTCAAAATAAAGTATGGTATTTTAATTTTCTCACATTATATTATAAAATTTTAAGATTATACTATTCATCCAAGTATTCAACAAGTCTTTCACAATTTATTGAAAAAATAAAATACAAAATAAAATTTATCTATTTTCTGTTTAAGTGAGAATTGCAACCTAAGCGGGTCTAAGCAGACTAGTTAGACGCCTAGATAGGTCTAGGCGTAATATTTTAATTTTTCAAATACCTAGTGATTAATTGATGCGATGGTCAGCCACGTAGCGCTTAAACAGAGCTTATGCCACACTAGGCCGGAATTTTTAAAATAGTGCTTGAAAACAAAATACCCCAAATTTACCCCAAATAGAATTCAAAAAAAAAAAAAAAAAAAAGAAAAAAAGAAAAAAGAAAACAGAAAAAAAAGCAAATATTGAAGTGCTTGGTAATTTGGTCCCAATTTCATGTGCATTTCAAAATCCGGAGCTATATATACCCTCTCACATTTCTAGCTCACCCTACTTCTGCTCAATTTCCACCATCTCTGACAGCCTTGAAGAAACACAGCGACATCCAAGCCTTCGTCTTCGGCTTGATCTTCTTCCCGTCGCCGCCGTCTTCGATCGTCTTCGTTCGTCTTCGTTCGTCTTCGTCTTCCCCTTCAAGGTAATTTCAACTTTATTTTTTCAATTTCTGCGTTTGAATTTCTAATTTTTATTTTTGTTTTTGTAAAATTGAGTTTGATTTGTAATAAATGAGTAGATTAAAGTTGATATGTACCTGATCTTGAAAATTTGTTGCCGATTCTGGTGTTTATGTGATTGTTGGAGTTAGATCTTGAATGATCTTACTGATCCGTAATTTCTTTGACTGATCGATCTGTTGAATTGAGATTTTGGAATTTTCTTTGTGTTGGGGTTGTTTGGTTGTCTGATCTCGCCCTTATCTGTTAGGATCTAATGTTGGTGATCTGATTTTTTTAGATCTGCATAGTTTTGTATAAAAAATTAGATAATTATTAGAACTTTGATATGATTGGAAGTCCTTATGTTACTTGTTTAGCAAAAGGATTTGAACTATGATTGTTGAGATTTAAGTCGATGCAAGATTTTTGAAATTGACTGAAAGAAATAAAAAAAGGAAGTTAAATAACGGGATGCATGGACAAATTGATATCGAAAATTATTTGTGTTGTTTTGATATTTATAGGAATTAAATTACTTGTACATTTATCTGATTAGTGAACTAGTGTGGGATGTTGTATTGATTATGTATTTCCATTTGATTCAGGTTTGTTAAAGATGGCTTTGAACTATGATTATTAGAACTTTGACAAAAAAATTAGATAATTATTAGAACTTTGATATGATTGGAAGTCCTTGTGTTACTTGTTTAGCAAAAGGATTTGAACTATGATTGTTGAGATTTAAGTCGATGCAAGATTTTGAAATTGACTGAAAGAAATAAAAAAAGGAAGTTAAATAACGTAATGCATGGACAAATTGATATTGAAAATTATTTGTGTTTTTTTGATATTTATAGGAACTAAATTACTTGTACATTTATCTGATTAGTGAACTAGTGTGGGATGTTGTATTGATTATGTATTTCCATTTGATTCAGGTTTGTTAAAGATGGCCGATGGTGAGGACATTCAACCCCTCGTTTGCGACAATGGAACTGGAATGGTGAAGGTACTGCATCATTTCCTTGCCCCTTTTGAATTTAAGTTAAATCAAAATTTTAATTATACTTGTACCTGAAATGAAGTCTTAGTTATACCATTTTGTGTATTATTATGCATGTAGGCTGGATTTGCTGGTGATGATGCTCCCAGGGCTGTGTTTCCTAGTATTGTTGGTCGCCCACGACACACAGGTGTCATGGTTGGTATGGGTCAGAAGGATGCCTATGTAGGTGATGAAGCACAGTCGAAAAGAGGTATCCTTACCTTGAAGTATCCCATTGAGCACGGTATAGTGAGCAACTGGGATGACATGGAGAAGATCTGGCATCATACTTTCTACAATGAACTTCGTGTTGCTCCTGAAGAGCACCCAGTTCTGCTCACAGAGGCTCCTCTCAATCCTAAGGCCAACAGAGAAAAGATGACCCAAATTATGTTTGAGACCTTCAATGTGCCTGCCATGTATGTTGCCATCCAGGCTGTTCTCTCACTTTATGCCAGTGGTCGTACAACAGGTTCGAATCAATGATTTTCTGAGCATGATTCTTAATATATTTTCCAATTATTCTGGCATTTACGGAGTTCCTCCTTGTACAGGTATTGTGCTGGACTCAGGTGATGGTGTGAGTCACACTGTCCCAATCTACGAAGGTTATGCCCTCCCTCATGCCATCCTTCGTCTGGACCTTGCTGGTCGTGACCTCACAGATGCTTTGATGAAGATTCTCACTGAAAGAGGGTACATGTTCACCACTACTGCTGAACGGGAAATTGTCCGTGATATGAAGGAGAAGCTTGCATATGTTGCCCTTGATTATGAGCAAGAACTTGAGACTGCCAAGAGCAGCTCGTCAGTTGAGAAGAACTATGAGCTTCCTGATGGCCAAGTCATCACAATTGGAGCTGAGAGATTCCGGTGCCCAGAAGTGCTCTTCCAACCATCCCTCATTGGAATGGAAGCTGCTGGCATTCATGAGACTACCTACAACTCTATCATGAAGTGTGATGTGGATATCAGAAAAGACCTATATGGAAACATCGTGCTCAGTGGTGGGTCAACTATGTTCCCTGGTATTGCAGACCGTATGAGCAGGGAGATCACCGCTCTTGCTCCAAGCAGCATGAAGATCAAGGTTGTGGCTCCACCGGAGAGAAAGTACAGTGTCTGGATTGGAGGGTCCATCCTTGCATCCCTCAGTACCTTCCAACAGGTGATGATCGTAAACTTATCTCTAAACCTTGTCAATGATATTTTGAATTCGTATGGTATGTACGTTTTCTTTTTGCTTGAGACTGATAAGATTCTTTTCCTTTTCAATGAATTAGATGTGGATTTCCAAGGGTGAGTACGACGAGTCAGGTCCATCCATTGTCCACAGGAAGTGCTTCTGAGTTCTCCAAATGGTTTTGATGGTGAGCTATTTTTCAATTTAGTTGGATTTTTGTGTCATGTGTCATGAAGTCAGTTTGGTTGGCAACGATGTGTTGAGGTGGGGTCACTCGAGGACGGGGTAGATTCAGATGTTGACTTCTCATCCACGCGAGAGATTTTGCTTGCAATGGCAAATGGTTCTATGTATATGTGGTGGGCAGAAAATCAGTCCAAAACCATCCTCGCCTTGCCTAATCATCGGTTCAACCATCTATTTCGGTAGGATGTTTGTAGCAGGAGAGTGATTGGGATGCTTTTCTTCGTCTTCCTTTTATTTCACTTTTGTTCTATATTTGACGGTCTTTTTTCATCCGGGAACATTAATATTAATAGTTTTTATTGTATCTGAAAGTTTATTGTAGCGTCAGTTTGTGGTCGAAAACTGGTATGCAAATTTATATTTAAATACTGGCTTGAAAGCTTGAGAGGAATCTGTTTTTCTCGTGTGCTTGCATTTGTTATTTCTTTGAAGGTTTGTCTTGTTGGCTTTTTGTTAGTTTGTCAGGGAATCGTAGGCCTCAAATGTTTTATATGGCATGGCATTTGCCAATTGTATGCGAGGCCTGCCACTTCCTCTTTATTTTCGATATACGGTCTTTAATAATGTTGTATTTTAGAAAGAAACGCTTCGAACTCGAGGCGTCATAATAAAGGCTGGTTTGGTATTGCTGTGCTTTGAAAAAAAGCTGCTTCTGCTGTGCTGTGAGAATAAGCAGCTGTGAAATAAAGCAGCAGAGTGTTTGGTAAACTTTTTTGTAAAAGTGCTTTTGAAAAAAAAAAACAGTATTAGAGTGTTTGGTAAACTTTTATGTAAAACAGATGTGAAAAAAAGCCAGTTTTTCAAAGCTAGGTTTTGCAGCTTCTTGTTTTTGGCTTTTTTTCATCCAAAACTGTGAAAAAAAGCTGAAGCTGAGTGTTTACCAAACACAAAAACAGCTCCCAGCTTTTTTTGATAGCAGCTTTTTTCAGAATCACCTCAGTACCAAACCAGGTCTAAGTCTGATGCGTCGTATTCTTTTATTTTCCTCGCTACAATTGGATGTCTCCAAGGGTTTGATTAGTCTGATTTTTTTTTTTTTTGTAACGAATAATGTTATGTTATTGAAATAAAGGTACGAGCGAGCTCCACAAAGGTATCCCTCATTTGAATGGGAGTATTAAAAGGCTTAATCCTTGATCAACCAGAATCAAGACAATTGGTACTAACATAACTCATTTCGGATTCAATGACGGTATGCCATTTCCTTGAGTCAGTGTCATACATAGGCTGAGGGTAGTCACAATTGTCATCTCTTTAATTTGCCTATATTAAGGAGTTGTAACTGGAGTCTTAAGAATTTGTGAGAACCATTTGAATCAAGTAATGGAAATGATTCAAATGGTTCTTGATTGTTTACATGAAGTTTTCTATATATCTATCTCCATCCAATCAAACGCGGGGCCCTCAACAACCAATGGAGCTCGCCTTCTACGGGACTGGGCCCATCTCCTTCAGCTGGCGTTAGGAGGACCCGCAAAAAAGTATCTAATTAGATTTCGTTCTTCTCCCTCGGAGAATTACCATGTTCATATGATGTCACTTGCCCTTGTTACTTTCAACGTAACTCTTTTAAAGTATTCTTGTTCAATGATCAAATTTAAGGAGACTTGCACACTTTTGAGGCTTTATTCATCTACTTGTACTCTTGAATTCTTTGTAAAGTTTTGCAAATGATTCAGAATCAGATTTGTTAGTTGTAAAATACACAATAGCCCAACCGATGAATGTCATGAATCATGAGACACCTTACGTTGAAAATTATGTATTGGCTAATGTATTCAAGTTCTAGGTGTCACGTCTTAGCAGAGTTAATCACAAGGGGAGGGAAAAAACAAGCGACGAACCGAAAAATTGAGTGAAAAAATTTAAAAAAACAAAAAAACGTCGAATTGACCAAATCGGTCAAACAGGTAACAAAACCGAACCGAACTGGTCTATTTCGGTCCAATTCTCAATTTTGTACTCTTCAACAACGAAATAAACCGAATGAACAGGTTTTGTAGAAATATGTTTATAGGCCCGACTACAAGCAAAACTATTAGTATAGGTCCAACTATAAGACCAAACCTTTTGGTCCTCTCCAATTAAAGGGCATTTGGTCAATATAAGCTCCAAAATTAAACAAAACAGTAATATAAGCTCCGAAATTAAACAAAACAGTACCAACAAACAGGCATTTTGAAAATGGGTGTACTTCAGCTCCTAGAAAGGCTAAAAAGTGTCAACTCCTGGGCACTGGGGATTTTTTTTTTCTTCATAGGATCCACTACTTGATGACATGGTGAAGTACTTGGTCATGCAAAAAAGTAATAAAAATAAGGATGTGCTATCCGCACAGCTCTTTTTAGAGCATTTTAATGGGAGCTTTTATCCTTCATGAGGCTGCTACATTTTAAGCCTTAGTGAGAAATTTCATCCTCAATGAGCTGAAAAATTGGGCTTGATCTACCACTGGCGCCATCAACTTCCTTTCTTGGATAACATAAAATTGGGTTACATCTAGCCCCAAAAAGCAGTGGGTCCTACAAAAGAAGTAGCAACCCATGTGAGCAAAATTCTACCACTCTTCCTCCACTTGCGAATACACTTATACTCTCATTTTATTCTTTTTAAATTTTGTTTTTCTTACATATTTTCTTGCAATTTGGCTAATATATATAAAGCCGGAGGCTCAATTTGATGTCATCGGCTTTGACAAAAAGAATTGGACGAAATTGGCCCTTAGCCAAAAAAATTCAAAACTTGCCCAAATTAATATATCAAATCATGTAAGGGTAAGTTGGTAATTTGGTCATCATAAAATATAATATAAATATAAATGGGGAGACAGAAAAAAATAAAAAAAATGAAAGGGAAGAGAGAAAAGAATAAACAAATGACAAATTTGATGGTGCCCACGTGATGGGAGAAGAAAATATAATAAAAAATAAGAAAAACCATGAATATTGTGTTCAAAACATCTTAAGAGGTGCGTAGCGCATGTGATAAAAAAAGAAAATAACGAAATAAAAAAATATTGAAGCAATTCATGCATATAAATACATTAAAAATGTTTAAGTCGCGTATAGCGCGATGTGATTCAAAAAATGCCTTTTGCACGCGGTTGTTTATTAAATATTATTTCTCAAATTTTAAACACTTAAGAGGTGCGTAGTTCCAGTTATAAAAAAGTCTTTTGCACGCGCATAATATTGTGATTCAATTAGTTATCAAATGATCATTTTTTTTTAACAAACGATGTTATCTACACTAAGGGGAGGGAGTGGGCTTAGCCTCACAATGGGCTAGCAATCAGTTGTTTATTAAATAATTTTTTTCTTCTAATCTTAATGTAAATTCAATAAAATGTAAATGGAAATTGAAAGACCGCTTTTTTTTTTTTAATATGGATTTAGCTGCTTTGATTAGTTAAAAGACTGCTTTTATTAAATGTATTTCTTATTTGTCACACCCCGACCGAAATCAGGGCGTGCTGGTCGTCATGTGAGGGTGACGTAGCCATGTGCACAGTGCGGAAGCAAAAGATAATAATAAAAGTACGAATAAATAAAAACTAACTACCAAACAGAGTAGTTAACATACAAGTGCAAGTGTAAGGGTGAAAAACAATATTCAGAGCATAGAAAGCCTAGTGCAGTCCAGAGGAACAACACTAACTAAACACACCCAGAAGTGGTCCTACACTTGTGAGCCACCAAAAGAGCAACCCAAACTAGAACCTGGAGGGGCGCAAAATAGAAAGTGTGAGTGGGCAAAAACAAAGCTTTTCAAAATCATTTCATTATCAAAAGTTCTAACCCCTCGCCGTAAAATCTGTATAGTTCCCAAAAAATAGAATATACACATATATCGAAAACATGCTCAGAAAATATGCCATGTCGAATGCCTCCACATAAAATGTAAGTAATCCAGGTAATGTCAATCAATGCAAGTAACAAGACAGCCGGAGTCACCTAACGTGACCTGTACGGTTGAATCTAGAGCTTAAATCCTCAACTCACTAACTATACCTGCCCACGAGTCGGAACCACCTAAAGTGGTCTGTACGACAGGACTGGGTGTAAATAAATACGCTGAAGTACTACGATCACGTGAAGACTGGGTGAAAAATCGCGGGTCACCTACGAGTCAAAACCACCTAAAGTGGTCTGTACGATAGGACTGTGCACCTAACTTGGATCCAAGATGAGCGTGTGGTGCGGGAGGTGAACATCACGTGAAGGATTGTGCCCTACTATGGGCGGGAGCACTAACACCGGGGGTGCGGGTTATGAGCTCTCTATATGCAACTACTAATGCATAAATAAATAGGCAACGCTATGCATGACATTTTAAAACATATAAACATTCTATATCATTTTCTGGGAAAAACCACAAGTATATAGGTATATACGGAAAAACCAAAAGCCCACTCACTGATAGGTGGAAGGGTCGTAACCCCCTTGTCTCGAGTGACTGCGCTCGTCCTCGGGATAGGTCTCACCTATATGCGAAACAACTATAAAAACGTCAATTAAAGCACATAACCAAAATTAGGTAATAACTTCTCATACAATACTCAAATGGGGTGTATGAATACACCAACGTGATCTACTCAACCTCACGAACATCCCCATATTTTAAAAATAATTTTTCGATGCTCCACGCGTTGGCAAGGGCACTGCCCTACGCGCCCCCCAAGCGCGGCCACGTGCCAGGCACACTGACGGCGTCAATTAACACCGTTAGGAATATTTCGTTAAACCCTAACAGATTTCGTTAAAACTGATTGACGGCGTCAGAATATTCCGTCCAAACTGACGAAATATTTCGTCTTCTTCTCCAGCGAATCGCTGGTCGCCGGAAAACTGGGAATTTTTCAAATCTTCGTTTCTCACTCGTTTCTTCACCAATTTCTATGAAATTTGCACCAAGGGAAAACTGGAGATGAGTAGAACAACGTTATACCTGTTGAAACCTCAAAGATCACGAGATCACGCCGGAGAAATTCGAGAAAAATCTGCCAAATTTGCAACTCACGGTCCCGACGTCCAAATCCTTCCAACGAACCATCCCAAGCTTCCTAAGGACCTTACCAAGTTTCCTAAAAGCTTCAAATTCCTTGAAAAACAACATTGCACGTGTGCATGAACAATGACCAAATTGGGGATTCCTGGTTCGACATGAAATCGAAGGGTTCCTTACTTGAAATTGGTATGGTTGAACTTGTATGGTCCTCACGAACACAAAGGTATAATTTTCCACCTCGATCTGCAATGTTTTCATGGTTTTTGGGTCTTGTCCGTACGAAGAAAGAAGAAGAAGAGAGAGAGGTTCGAAACAGAGAGAGAGACAAGGGAGAAGATGATAGGATGAGGTGAATGTGTGGTCCAGATGCAACTAGCCAAACAA